ATACGAACTTAATGTCAAAACATACACAATTAGCTCTCGTCAGGTCGACCTCAATGAACAGGACGGTCGACCTTATTACTAAATAACAAACATGCAACGATCGGAATACGAACTTAATGTCAAAACATACACAATTAGCTCTCGTCAGGTCGACCTCAATGAACAGGACGGTCGACCTTATTACTAAATAACAAACATGCAACGATCGGAATACGAACTTAATGTCAAAACATACACAATTAGCTCTCGTCAGGTCGACCTCAATGAACAGGACGGTCGACCTTATTACTAAATAACGAACATAAGGTCGACCTAATTTACTGAAAGGTCGACCTAATCATATAACTACGAAAGAACGGTCGACCGGAAGTTGTGTGTGGTCGACCGGATGGTGGGAAAAATTTAGCCACATAGAACCATTAACAAGTATATACGAGGCATACCTTAGCAACGAGGTCGACCACTTATTGTTACGGTCTACCGGAATAAAAATAAACCGCCACCAACACCCGATCACAATAAGAGCGATGAGATTATAACTTCACTCCAACAAATTGTAAGATTTCGTGGTACGATTAATGTCTGAAGACTCCCATCTATTTATAGATAATTTGGACGAATTCCTTATCCAATTGGTTCAAGATATATAAAATCATAATTCGACAAGGACAAGTACACCAAATCCTAATTGTACAAGGACAGGAATCATCATGGTCGACCTCTTTGCACAAATGGTCGACCGTCTTGGGTAAATGTGAAACAGGTCGACCTCTTTACACAAATGGTCGACCGTTGTTTGTAAATGTGAAACAGGTCGACCTCTTTACAGAAATGGTCGACCAATGCTTATAAATGTGAGCACAGGTCGACCTCTTGACAAGAGAGGTCGACCGTACTTTTCTTAAGGCCAAACAGACGAGTATCCATACTTATTTTACATGGTTTTTGACTTTCCTACGGTATCATAGGTCGACCTTAAGCTTCACGAGGTCGACCTGTGCTCTGCCTTTGGGTATGCCCGCTTTGAGTATGTGGTCGACCACTTGTTCTAGACGATTGAAATCGTACATTCAGTCACATACATAATTGTATAACAAATCTAATAAACGATAAACATTCAAAATCCATAATGAAACGATCTCGCAAATACAAAATAAATGTATGGTCCAATAATGCAACATTGTAACTTAACGACTTCATTTCTTTGCTTTTTTCTTGGAACTCTGTCTCTCTTTGCCTCGTTCCATGCATTCATCTACTACATGCTTGAAAAGATTTTCTCGTGCACGGTTTTCAAAATGTGTAGCCAGATACCATAGAATCTCCTTTCGCGCCGGTAATTTGTGTTCTTCTCCTATCTGCATTATGCCATGTAAGATTTCGTTACAACTAAAAAAGTGTAAATTATACTAGTTATTTGTTTGACGATATACTCACCACTCTATCAAGATCCTTGGATCCATAGCGCATCCACTGCATGACGTGCACACCACACTCAGTACTATTCCTTTGTCGTTGAACTGGTAGCTCATCAAAATTGAAATTTCCAAAATTTGGTACTACTACATTGCTCGTGCGCTCTGGTTTCAAAATATCATCCAAAGTGGACAACTACACACAAATAACGAATATTTTAAACTTCTAGCATACTACGTAACGCTTAGTAGTCAGAAAATTATAGGAAACACTTACCAATTTCTTGCATAGTTCTGATTTACGCCTACGATTCGCCTCACTAGTTGAAGGTAGACTGTCAAGCAAAAATGCAGTTTTTTGCTGGACATTGACGAGATACAGAAACCAATGACGTGCTTCATCTTCAAGAACTGGCATAAATATCTAGCAACGAAACACTCACTATATGTTATAAACAGCGAATACAAACAAATGCACTTTCGAAATTTAATGATATAGGGACATTGACTAGACTAACCTTCTGGCATGCACTGACATTCGGCATAAAGTCCACGCCATCATTCATCAACTTGTTACGAATTTGTCTGGTCTTCATGTTAGCGCGTACCATTTTCTGCACCATGTTTTAGTTGAGATGAATTGACATGGTACAGTATAAATAACTAGGTTATGACAAATAATTTGACATTACGGCTCTTACCGAAAACATATTTGGAAAATACCACACATTTGGCTCTTTCACATCATGTTTTTCAGACATTGTTAGTGCCCTTGCACACAAATCCACTACCTACCATCCAACAATAAAACACAAAATCATCGTAAATCGTAACATAAATAGTGCACAATTCATACGAAAGTCGTAGTAGTATAGTACTTACTGATGAGCAAACCCAGCTTTTCTCGCTAATGACCGAACTCAAATAATGTCGTTGCAGGTTTTCAGAAAAAAAGTCCACAATCATCAAACTGCAAAAAACAAGATAACAGAAATGTCAATTGTTTTTTTGCAACGTACAGGTCGACCTGTACACAGTCAAGGTCGACCTTATTGGACACACGGTCGACCGTATTGGACAACCGGTCGACCACACGTACTAGAAAAACGTCTTACTTGTCCCAATTCTTGTCCCCAACCTTCTCTTTAGTAACAACATAATACAAGTCTTCAACTGGATTTTGAAGATTTTTGGTGAATCCTTCTAGACCCTCCACTTTCATGACCTACAAATCATAGTTAAAATTAAAGTAACATATGAACACAAACACACATTATAGATGAAAATGTAACGTAAACTTACCCCGTGCTTTTCGAAAGGACTCTTAGATTCATCTTCATCGCTATCATCACTAAATAATCCCTTTCTTACAAATTGATCCTTCTGTGGAGTGGTGTAGGAGTCACTTTCATATCGCGGTCTCTTGTAATTAGGAGAGGAACCCTTGCGGCCATTCTTTGTTTCACTCTGTCAAACATATAAACAAAACAGATTAGCACTAATGATAGTAATACTAATATCTTCAATCACATATGAATATACTTGGATACCTTTAAAATGTGCTCTTTCAATAAATCGTCTATGCTCTGGTAGCAATTTTCAGAGTCATCATGGTCTTCCTCCTCTTTACCAAAGTCAAATTTCTTTCCTTTACCATTTCTTCCGCCATTCTCCATTCGTTCTGCACTTATATCTTTGATAGCACCTTCTAGCCTCTCAAACCCGTCATGCATCATCCCAGTCATATCTGTCAGTCGAACTGACAAATGCTCGACTTGTGTTTGACACACCACCAGCTTCTCTTGTGTGGCTTTCAACAATTTCATGATTTCACCCAAATCTTGATGCAGTTTCTCATCATGCGTCATCGTCTAAACAATTTAAAGAAAAATTAAAATCATAATTCAAGTACAAATTTCTATAATTGACCAAAAAACAAAGACGTGGTCGACCTGACAAAGTATTAGGTCGACCTGTAAGACAAATAGTGACTACCACAACTCGTCAGGTCGACCTCGGTTATTCCTAGGTCGACCTATCCAGCATGAAAATAACAATTACAAACATATAGTAAGTTCAAAATTAAACCGAAAAAATGACAGGTCGACCAGATATCTGGCGCGGTCGACCTTTTCAAGCACAACATAGTGATACAAACAAAGCCAAAGTCGACATTCAGGTTGAATAACCAAAAAAAACATATACGGTCGACCTTGAAACTCATTAGGTCGACCGATTGGGTTACCTCGCAAGTACAGAAGTCCAAGTGTTGTGGCCTAAATTCAAATACGAAGAATTGTCTCGTCAGGTCGACCTGGTGGACGTCGCGGTCGACCGAATTGGATTCTGCACCCAACAATATATCAAGTTAGCCGGTGGAAATCACGCATTAAAAAAGAAGACGGTGAATGCTACTTTAGGTCAACCTCACCTTAGACCTGGTCGACCACTTCCAACACGTACAACAGCAACCGCGAACGATCTTCTTCACAAAGGCTCTAAGTCGGAAAAAAACCTAATTCAGACTTGGTGGCGTTTAAGGGGACTCATATTCGTATTTATAGAGATTTGGACGTGAATGGGTCGACCCAATTCGTTTCCTTGTCCAATTGTGGAACCTTTCTGGTGTTGGAATCCATATCCAATACGGATACGGTCTGAAGGCGGTCGACCTCTTCCCAATGCGGTCGACCTGTTAGGTGCACAAGGGTCGGCCTATGAGATATTTGGGTCGACCTGTTGCTCTGTTAGACCACCAAAACGGTCGACCGCATTTTGTTAGAGGTCGACCGCCTTCAGGAACCCAACATACGTGAATTAGCCCATTCGGTCGACCGCAAGTTGTATTCGGTCGACCGAAAAGTCCATGTCACGGTGACATGCATGTCACCGTAGCAAAATCCTAAAACTTATGGTAAGATAAAAATTATAGAGAGATAGTTATTTCTTATATATTAGTTATACAAACTTTGTGTTACTCAAAATTTCAGTAAGTTAAGTTATTTTTACATATAGTTTACTCAAATATGATACTTTTCATAACGTAATTATTTTATATTAACAAAAGCTAATTCATTATTAACTAAAATATTCACAATGTCACCAATTTGCATACTTTAAAGGTTTCATAATGCTAGCTAATTTTTATATAACAATTTAATCAAATGTGATAATTTTATAATTTGATTTATATTAGACCACATATTACGGAATATTTTTGTAACGCCATTCTATAACAATTACGTAAAACTTATAGATGAATAGTTATTTCTTATGTATCAATTAAACAAAGGTATTACATGAGTCTTAACGATTACGACACCACAAAAAAGCATGGAAGAATATTTATTTATTAGGTATCAACCAAACAAACTTATTATGTAAGTCTTCTATAATGATTAAGATTTCTTATATAACGGTTAAACAATCATATTTAATCAAGATACTAAGCAGAACTCATGAAAGTTTTTTATTCAAAAAAATTGTTGAATTATTTGATTTCAACTAAATCATTAAATAAATTGATAAAATATAATTAGTGTCTTATCACTGCGGAGCGCGAGTCAAAAAACTAGTATTTTGTATAGGAGATATTCCAATTAAGTTCCTAGAAGAAAAGCTATCTTCTCTCTCCTCTTTTTCTCTCTTCTGATATCGACTGGTGGTTTCCGATCGGCGGTCATGGCCGTGCCGAGGCCGGCTAACTAGGCTCAACTCTTTGGGGTGGGCGATGGTAATCGGCTTCGTTTCGCTGATCTTGAACTAGTTGATGGAGAGCTGGTCATCCCTAGGGCGGTTCGGGACGAAGGGGCGGTCAAGTGGAGGAACGCGTTGGTGGGGCAATTCCTCACGACGGCGCCTCCGATTGCGATCATCCGTCGTTGGGCTCAGCGATTCTGGGGCAGAGATGGTAGGGTTTTTGTCTGTGTTTGGTACGAACATGTTCTTGTTTCAATTTGAGAGTGAGGCGACGAGTACTTGGGTGTTCGAGAGTGGCCCGTGGCACTGTGAGAACATTCCTCTCTTCGTTCGTAAGTGGGTTCCAGGGATTCATTCGGTGAAGATGGGTTGCACTAAGCTACCGATCTGGGTGCGCATTCGTGAGTTGCCGCTGGAGGGTCTGAGTAGGTTAGCGAGTTTGCTGGGTATACCTCTTTGGATGGATCAAGCTACTAAGCTTGGGGCTCAGATGGGTACAGTGAAGTTGTGTGTTGAGATGGCTGCAGATTCTTTATTTCCATCTGAGATCCGGATTCGTCCAGAAGGTGGGGAGAGGATAGTCTTGTTTGTTCATTATTTCAATATTCCAGTCAGATGTGATTAGTGTGCTGAATATGGGCATAAGATGGGGGAAGGTGTGGAGTGTGGAAAAGTTTCACATGAGCACATGGTCGTGAATGGCATTGAGGGTCAAGGAACTGAGGATAAGGGTAAAGAGAAAGTAATGGAATCTGGGAGTCCCCCTATTGCTTCTCATGCTGGTGGTTTTGGGGTGGTAGCAGATTCTCAAGCTGTGGTAAGTAGTTATGGGGTGTTGGTAGCAAATTCTCAAGTCGTGGCAAGTAGTTCTGAAGTGGGAGGGAAGATTGCAGCTAACACTTCAACTCCAGCTAGAGAGGATTTGATTGATGCATATGGCTTTCAGTTGGTGGTGAGGAAAGGAAAGAATGTTTCAGTTGGTCGGGAGCAAAGCAGTGAAATGCGTATCCTAGCCTCAGCTATACAGTCCAGAGTGCCATTAAATTCTAAGGGTGTTGCTATGGTCATTCCTGTTTCTCCTAAGAAAGGTGGGAGGAAGAATAAAAAAGGTAAATGAGAATACTCTGTTGGAATCTTAGGGGATTTAATTCCCCTGAGAAGTATAAATACTTAAATAATCAAGTAGCTAGATTACAGATAGAGTTTTTTTTGCAGTTTTGGAAACACATGTGTTGGAAATTAATGCGAAGGATATATTAAGTAAGCAGTTTAGTAGTTGGAAGCATTTAAATAATTACAAGTACTCTTTGGTAGGGTTTGGCTTTTTTGGAAACCGTCTTTGCAAGTGAGTGAAGTTGATATGAGGGAACATTTCATTACTGTTCGAGTTATATCAGGTACTGAAACTTGTTTGATTACAGCTATATATAGCCCTAATAAAACAAGTGGAAGGGCAGTGCTTTATGATGAGTTGAGAAGGACTCGGGTGACTGTTGAGTCTGGGATTTTCTTAGGAGATTTTAATGCTATCAAAGATAGCAATGAAGCTTCCAATGACCTGGATTTAGTCAGAGTATTCTCGATTTCAGGCAATGGATATTAGATATGAAGCTAACATATCATAAAGCTATTGGCTCGTGGTTTACTTGGCGGAACAAGCACTCTAATAATTATAATAAACTGCTAGAAGAATTGACAGAATTTTAGTTAATGAGAAGTGGTTGGATGTTTTTCCTCAAAGCTTGGTGGAGATTGTTGTCCCAGGGGTTTCTGATAATTGTGGTCTTTATGTTCAAACAAATTCTGGTCTCTCTACGTTACCGAAGCCTTTCAAATTTTTCTTGTTCTGGAGACAACATCCTCAGTACAGTGGGATTTTGAGAAAAGCTTGGCAGGTAGAGGCAGCTGGGGTACCATATTATGTCTTGTACAAGAAGTTAAGGGAATTGAAGGGGAAACTTAAGAGTTTTAACCGAACTGTCTACTATGATATTTCCACTAGAACTCGAGAAGCGGAACAACAACTAGTGCTAATGCAAAATGCTGTATTAGCAGACCTCACCGAGGATAATTCTCTAGCTGTTTGGAGCAGGAGAGTGTGTGTAAAGAGCTGCAGAGTGTAGAGGAGTCTTTTTATAGACAGAAGTCAAGAGTTCAGAGGATAACTTAGGGTGATGCTAATACATATTTTTTCCATAGTATGGTTAAGTCAAGAAACCATCGACAAACAATACAAAAGCTAATTTCTAATGATGGCAAAGTGGTAACAGAAGTGAAGGAGATAGGAAAACTGGCAGTGGAGTTTTACAAAGGTCTATTGGGGGCAACTAATAGTAATGTTCAACCATTTCCAGTTGAGTATTTTGCAGAGTTGCTGGTAAACAAACTGATAGAGGAGGAAGCTGCTTGCTTGACTTTGCCTGTTACTAGGGAGGAAATAAAACATGTCTTCTTCAGTATGGGAAGAGATAAAGCACCAGGTCCTAATGGGTTTGTTGCTGAATTTTTTAAGTTGGATTGGGAGGTGGTGGGTGTTAAATGTGGAGAGCACTGTTCTGGAATTCTTCAAAACGGGGTCATGCCTAAACAGGTAAACTCTACAGTTATTGCACTTATCCCTAAGCTGCCTGTTGTGGAGAAAATGAAAGATTTTCGACCTATTTCTTGTTGTAATGTGATTTATAAGGGTATTTCAAAGTTGCTCTCACGTAGACTGTCAACGGTGTTACCCAAACTAATTGGAAGAAGTCAGTCCGCCTTTGTGAAGGGTAGGCTGATTAGTGATAATATTCTAATGGCAACAGAACTTGTCAAGGATTATCATAGGAGCAGAATTTCTTCTAGGTGTGCACTAAAGATAGATTTGATGAAAGCCTTCGACTCTGTCAATTGGAATTTTCTTTTCACAGTTATGTCTGCTATGGGAATGCCAAGTAGTTATGTAAAGCTTGTGGAATCTTGTATATCCACTCCAATGCTCAGTGTTTCTTTTAATGGAGGACTATGTAGGTATTTTCCGGCTGCTAAAGGGTTGAGGCAAGGGGATCCTCTGTCCCCTTACCTATTCACGATAGCAGTTTTTGGGATTCAGCAGGTTCTTAACAAGTTCTATGAAGTCTCAGGCCTAAAGTCTAATCCGCAGAAATGCCAATTGTTTTGTGCTGGATCTCGCAAGATGAAGATCAAGTATTATCTGCTCATACTGGGTTTCCTTTGGAGAAGCTACATGTTCGATATTTGGGAGTGCCGCTTCTGTCAGGTAAATTGACTTCTGCAGACTGTGAATGTTTAGTGGACAATATCACAAAAAGGATTCATACATGGCAGGCCAAGTTATTGAGTTATGCAGGTAAATTGCAGTTAATCGATTTGGTTGTTACTAGTTTATTCCAGTATTGGATGTCAGTGCTCCTGCTCCCTGTTAAGGTTCTCAGATTGATTGAAGATGCTTGCAATAAATTATTGTGGGAAGTTGATGGTGATAAACGGAAGAAGGCCCCTGTTGCGTGTGCAGCAGTAGCAATGCCACGACAGGAAGGGGGATTAGGCATTAGAGATTTCAAGATTTGGAACAAAGCTTGCGTGATCAGGCATTTTTGGAATATGTTAGCTATGTCTGGCTCTTTGTGGGTTGCTTGGATGCACAAGTATCGAGTTAAGGGAAGAAGCATATGGTCTCTTCCTGTGAGCTCTGTTAGTACTTGGACCTGGAAGAAGATTCTCAAATGTTAAGGATTGGCGCAGCAACACATATCTGGTATGGGAGATGCATTAGCTTGGGATGGAGTTGTTTTAACCAAATACTCAATCAAGCTTGTGTGGGGGACTATTCGATCTCCTGCTCCACAGGTTTCATGGTACCATGATGTGTGGGGTAAGCCAATCTTTCCAAAGCATAGTGTGATGGTGTGGCTTGTAGTGTTTAGGGATGGCAACAAAACTCGAACCCACGGGTACCCACCCGACCCAGCCCGGTCAACGTGGGTAAAACCCGTGTTGACGGGTTTTGGGCCGGGTTTAAACCCGCTACACTATTCACCGGGTCGGGTTTGGGTTTAGGTAAACTCGCCCCATGGGTACCCGCCCACACACATATAATTTCTTTCCCGGTATATTTAATATTCTAAATAATATATCTTCCTTAAACAACTAATATTCTATATGTTTGTGGAGACATGTATAATTTGTTCTTTCTAATTGTTTAAAATGAAGTTGATATTATGAAGTGGAGAGTGAAGAAACTTAGTTGACGAGGAAGAGGCTTTCAATTAATCTTATTGTTTATATTTGTTTATCTTTAATTTCGAACAATTTGTATTGATCATTTGCGGTTTGTTTGTATGCTCTAGATTGGTGTTATTTGTATGAGAAAATTGATGTTAAACTTTTATTTTGAAAGAAACTTGTTATTGTAAATTTTTACCACAAAAAACCACGGGTACCCATGAACCCGCGGATACCCAGTGGGTTGGGTTGGGTTTGAGTTTTTCAAACCCAACGGGTTTTACCCTGGGTTTTTTTGGCGGATAAACCCATGGGTTTGGGTTTGACAAAACCCAACCCAACCCGACCCATTGCCATCCCTAGTAGTGTTAGGCAGAATTAAAACAAAAGATAGGTTGTCTGCGTGGGGCATTCATTGTGATACTTGTTGTGTGTTATGTCCTGGAGGTCTGGAGAGCAGAGACCATCTATTTGGAGTTTGTTCGTTTGGTTCTGCAGTTATGAGGCAAGTTCTGCACAAAATTTGTAGGTGGCCTGATTTTGGAGATTGGAGTGCTCAGCTGGTTTGGCCAGTGCAGCAGTGGGGGCAAACGACAGATAAAGTAGTCGTTGGAAGGCTTTTGTGGGTCATGGGAGTCAGCTTGATATGGCGAGAAAGGTGTGCCAGGCTTTATGGAAACTCAGCATCTCTCTCCCCAGCTCAAGTTTCGTATAACATTTTGAGAGACTTTGAAGTGTTTTCGCAAAGTTATATTCCCTTCCAGTTGAGAGTACAAAAATATTAGGATCATTGTCTTAGTTTGCTGTTTGTAGCTTCCTTACAAGTTTTGATGGTTTTATGATGTAAGTTGACTCTTTGAGAGGGAGATTTGCGAGTTGCAACTCCCCGGGCTTCAATACAATTTTTTGATTAACCATAAAAAATATTCCAATTAACCTTCTCTACAAGCAAAACTCAACCTGATCGGTCCTGTTCTAATCCAATTGCCACATTAAAGAGCAATAATCACTGCTAACACAAAGTACAAATCACCCTGGTGCTGGCATATGCGAAGGCAAGGCAATTAGGCCTTGATTTTGGAGGTAAAAAATAAAAAATATATATTTATATTGATGATGGAACAAACAACTAAAGATGGTATAAGAGTACGCATTTTATCGCTACAACACAATTTATTACTTATTCATAAATTGACATAAAATTAATTTATTATACTATAAACGAAATTCCAATTGCAATAAAGACCTGAACAAATATCTTTCCTCCTAATGTCTGTGTTTTTCTTGTCAACAACCCTGAAATTGTCCAGCAACAACGACAATTTCACTAGTTTTGATTCTACCAATTTGCAATTGCAAGTGTAGCAAGAACATTTGTGCTTTGAGTTATATCAAGAACAAGTTTCGAGGTCAAATTGGCGACCAGCTTGCTAATTGATTGTTTAGTGGGACACATTAAAAGAGACTTACTTAACAATAGTGTAGACAACAAATGTTTTTGCGTTTCTTTCACACTATGAAATCCCGTCATGGTGGTTTATGAAAACAATGATTGTATTATTCGGTTATTTTTTATACGTGAATGAATAATTTGGATATAAGTAGTTTTAAATTTATTAGTTAAATAATTATATATTTATATTGTGAAAAAAGGACGGATAGTTTCAAATCCTGCCATAGCCACTGGGTGCTGGTGCTTGTTGGTTGGGCGGCCAGCTCTTCAAATTTAATATTGATCAACGGCTGTACTCATATAGGTCCTACGTGGATGGATGCACCATGCCCAGCTACACAACCTTATCTACGTACATTTTTCTCCATACGTTGTTGAACTGAAGCGGTCCAATAAGCCATCTATGATCTCTCTAAGTGGTTGCTCAATTTTTCAAAGTCGGGAAATTCAATAGTTTTTTTAATGGAAACTGTATTCATTAATTAAATCAAAGCATTGGAGTTTCCTCCCATATCCTCTTTAAGAAGAGGTACAAGAAAATAAGGTGGGTTGTCAATCCACACCTCCTCTCCCTTCCAGTTACAATCAACATGGGCCATGAAATGGGCCGGTTTGTTCTTTTGTCGGCCCACAAAGTTCCATTGAACATGATTCAGTGACTGGGCTTTGGCCCGGATCTTCGCACGGAGCAACCCGATCTCGGTCTCTCTGTCTTCTTCTCTTCGCAGCTGGTAAACGACCCCCTAGCAATCCGATTCCATTTCCATTTCCAGCAGCTCAAACCTTCGTGCCAAATCAAGGCCAAAGTCGATGGCCATGGCTTCTGCTTCCTCGGGATTCCATCGAATTCGCGATCTCCGAACTCCAGCAAATAAAAACCTTCCCCCGCTATCTCTGATAACCACTCCCCAACCCGTTCCTCGATCTGCGATGCAAGTTGCGTCGACATTCACTTTCACAGGAGCTGTCGATGGTGGCTGCCACTTCTGCTCATCATTTGTAGCCGACAATTGCGGGGTCACCTGTTTGTCCAGGTAATCCTGCAACCAATTGCATGCCCTAGGTAGAATTTCCCACTTTTCTAACTTCTTCTTGTTCCACAGATGGCAGTTTTGTTGGTCCCAGATATACCACAACACCACCAGGAACTCTCCCAACTGCTCATCAGATTCCGTCTCCTGGAGTTCGCAATACCACTCTTCCGAGGTAAGATCTCCCCCTTTCACTATGTATGAATCCATATGACTAGCTCTCCACACCCTGCGAACCCAATCACAATCACGAAAAATATGCTCCTGCGTTTCCCTCAAATTGCAAAAAGGGCAATTTTCACTGCTCTTTTGCATTCGATCATAGATACGGGGTCCTGTAGGAATTATGTTTCTCAACCATCGCCAGGCAAAGATTCTCACTTTTGGGGGAATCCGTAGGTTCCAGAGCCTTTTCCAATTCACTGGGGTATAGACTTCCCCAACCACATCCTCGTTTCTTTCTTTCCAAAACCTGTATGCTGACTTTACAGTGTATTTCCCTGATTTCTCCACTCCCCAGATCAGCTTATCTTTAGTAGGTTGCTTGGGAATGGGGATTTTCTGTATATTAACACGATCCATGGGGTTGAAGAATCTCTGGAGCAAATTTGTAGGCCAGCTCCTTGAGTCCAAATCAATCAGTTCAGCAACTGAGGTTGAGCCACTCCAGTTTGCAACTGGGGATGTTACTCTTTGGGTTGTACTAGAGGGCACCCATTTGTCAATCCAGTTGTCTACCTTGGTTCCATTTCCTACTCTCCACCTCATTTCACGTCTGACTAGCTCTTTTGCAGCCAGTAAGCCTTGCTAGATCCAACTAGGATTCCTCCCAAGTTCTGCTTCCAGTGGATCCCTATCCTCAAAATACTTTGCTTTCAACACCTTTGCCACTAGAGCATCAGGGTTCTAAATAATACGCCATAGTTGCTTTCCTAGGAGAGCTAGGTTGAAACTCTGAAGGTTTTTAAAGCCCATACCCCCCCCCCCAGTTTCTTTGGTTTACAAAGTTCTTGCCAATTGAGTCAGTGTGTCTTCCCTTCCTCCTCCTGCTGTCCCCACCAGAAATGAGCCACTGCTCGTTTTGTTTCTTTGAGGGTACTGAGTAGTATTTGGAAAACTGACATAGCATTAGTCATCTAAGCCTCTGCCACGGCCTTAATTAATACTTCCTTCCCTGCGACTGGAAGAGTTTCCCTTTCCAAGCTTTAAATTTTGCTATAACTCGATCAACTATGTAGCCAAAAGTATGCTTCTTTGATCGACCAATGATGGTTGGGAGGCCTAAGTACTTTTGATGATGGTCCACCACTTTCATATTCAGCATGTTTGCTAGTTCTTTCCTTCTCCCTTGCCTCACATTAGGACTAAAGGATAGCTCGGATTTGTGGAGATTGACCTGTTGGCCAGATTTAGCTTCATATAAGCTTAGGATAGCTTTCACTCTTTCACATTCTGACTTGATTGCCCACATGAACAGAATGATGTCATCAGCAAACAAAAGATGGGAGATCTGTGGTGCATTCTTTCGAACCCTTATCCCTTCAATCTGTTGTTCCCTCTCTGCTTTAGTTATTAGTGCTGACAGGCCTTCCACCACAAACAAGAAGAGATAGGGGGATATGGGATCACCCTGTCTTAGCCCACTGTTAGGATATAAGCTCTTTGTTTGGTGTCCATTCACTAGAGTAGAAAATAAAACTGTCATGACACGGGTCATAATCATCTGAACCCATCGAGGATGAAACCCCAATTTCAGCATAATTGCCTCCAAAAAATTCCCACTCTACTCTGTCGTAGGCTTTAGTAATGTCTAACTTACCAGCCATAAACCCTTTGTTTCCAGAGCTTTTGGCTTTCATTGAGTGAAAACACTCGAAAGCTATCATGACATTGTTAGTAATTAGCCTTCCTGGTACAAACACGCTCTGGTTTGGAACTATCACCTTATTTAACACTCCTTTGAGCCTATTAGCAAGTACTTTAGATAGAATTTTGTATAGTACCTTGCATAGACTGATAGGGCGGAAATCCACAGGGGTTTGGGGGCTTTTCTTCTTCGGTATTAGAGTTATAAGAGTATGATTCAGCTCTTGTGGGAAACTACCCACTTTCAGATATCCCTGTAACTCTGTAGTGATTGCCTCACCCATAATGTCCCAATTCTTTTGAAAAAAGAGGGCAGGCATACCATCAACTCCTGGAGTTTTGAGAGGTCCCATTACCTTCAAAGCAGCCCATATTTCCTCACTTGTAAATGATTTCAGTAGCTCATCATTCATAGTTGCTGTAACCTTCTGTGGGACTGCGTCTATGACTGATCTGGAACCAGATCTCATATCAAAGGTGTATAGCTTCTTGTAGAAGTTTACAATGCATCTTGCTATACCCTCTTGCTCTGTACAGACCCTTCCATCCTCGTCCTTCAGCTTTTTGATCATGTTCTTGGCTCTCCTATCCGAGGCTCGTCTGTGGAAAAACTTAGTGTTCTTATCCCCATGCTTGAGCCAGTCATTCCTGGATCTTTGTTTCTAGATCATTTCTTCTTGAAGCAAAATCTCTTCCAGTTCATTCTCAATCACTCGTCGTTGCGCCAATATTGCTTCATTCTTACTCATTTTGTCAATTTTCTCCAAAGCTTTTTCTGCTTTAATTCTTCGAGCTCTTCAACTACCAAAGGTCTGTTTGCTCCAGCTTCGCAGCCTTTCCTCACAAATTCTGATTCTCCCCACCATAGAGCTTTGACCAGGCGCCTCCCAACCATCTTTAATAACCTGCTTACAGCCCTCATGATCCCGCTAGTAAGCTTCAAACTTAAAATACTGACCCCACTTTACATCCTCCACTAATACATTTGTTTTCAGTAAAATGGGATTGTGGTCTGAACCACAACGTCTGAGATGATACACCCCTGCATTAGGGTATAATTTCCTTCAAGATTCTGTGGCCACCTTCCTATCCAATCTCTCCTCCAAAAATGTCTCATCTTTATGGTTATTATCCCACATATAAGGTTTACCATAGAAACCTAGATCTTCTAGTTGACAGTCCTCCAGAGGTCTATTAAAGCCATCCATCTCATAACCACTTGCTGGTTGTTTACCTTTCTTTTCTGCATAATGTTGAATGAGGTTGAAATCCCCACAACACATTCATGGCATGTCAGTTAGCGATTTTAGATACCGCAGTAAGTCCCAAGTCTGGTGCTTCTTCCCCTTTTAGACCAGCCATGAACTCCAGTTAAGCGCCATATATTTCCATCTTCTTCAATCTTCATATCAACGTAATTTGTATCACTGCCCTTTATTTCCACCTTAATATCCTCCTGTCACAGAGCCAGCAGGCCACCTGCTCTGCGTTCTGATCCCACACCAAATCCCTTATACCCCTGAAACTTAGTCACAACCTTCTGCCATTCATCTTCTTTCTTCTTGGTCTCCA